GAGGAAAGGGAACGTTGTGAGAAACGTAGAAACAGAAAATCAGAGTGTGTTGAGAGCTAATAATCAAATATAATCAAATCTGAAGGAAAGAGAACTGTGAATACTGGAAACTCCATCCCTGTAAGTCTTCCGGTTTGTGGGGGTAAGGAAATTGGAGCGTGGTTTTGGGTCTTCAGCTATATTTTTCTTCTTTACATCCTACCATAGCAACGACACAGGACCAATAACACAAATGGATTTTATACTACGACTATGAGTAAAGGGAGAGAAACCTTCAAACCCACGAGCCTGTTGAATGCTTCGTAGCGTCAACCAGGGGCCAGCAAAGTTGAATCTGTGGACATAAATCCAGCTGCAAATATTTGTCTGTTTCACATGTGTTCAGACGAAGACAAACATAGTTTAGTGATCCTCATATCAAGCGGTCTTCCACCAATATACTAGAACGGAATCCACAAGGAGACTTAAGTGTAGTTTGTTGACCAAGTGGCCGAAAGTAATTAGTCACTCCTTTTTTTACGGTGTATCATTTACATTGAAACCTATTCAGCGACTTTACTAATACATACGACTCCATAGAGTAGAGTTATTTTTTCAGAAGCTAATAGTAGCCCATTTCATCAAGAATTTTTAGGTCTTGTTTGAAATGGTTTACACACTCCACTATATATAAAGATATATGCATAATTTTCATGACACATCTCCATAAAAAACTATTAGACTAATTACTGTACACATTTCTCAATTGCCGAGACCTGTAATGTTATAGTTTGTTCAGTTACTATTATTCGACGCTTAATAAAAGCAGCAACTCTTCATTGGAGTTTGACATTAAATTAAACCACAGTCCAGTTCAGTCCAGACACCTGTTACAGCTTCCAGCCTGGAGGCGTGATACTTTTATGTCCGATTCTGGATTCGAATTTAGAAACCGTGATGAATAGAGCCACAGTAGCCGCTTTGTTCTCTAAATTACTCGACCAGGATCCTGCTAATGAGAGAACGAGGAGCGAAAGGACAGACAGAAAGAACCCTTGCAGACTGCTTGTTTGTTTCACCTGCATCGAGGCTGAGTACTACTTCCGGTTGCGCAGCGCAGATACAGAGCAGAGAATCAAAGGCTGCTGTGCGCAAAGCGTACAATTCGTTGCAAGTGCAAATTGATTTGTTTTTGAAAGTTTATAACGACGATTCGTCTGCAAATCATTTCCTTAGTATCTGACAAGAACTTCGCTGTTTAATAAAAACCTAATATTAAATTATGCTTTTCTAAATGAAGTGCAGAATAAGAAACGTGTTTTCGTAGGCGGTGTCTGTTTATCCTTCCGAATATTTCACCTCCAAAACTACACATCACATTTCAACGAAATTTCTTCTTCGATATCTACACCAAACTTTGCAGGACGAAGTTAATTTTGTCAACTGTCTGTCTTGGGGGCGCCTCGCGACTGAATGTCATGTAATATTAATTTTATTCCGTGTTTCAGATTTAGAAATAGCTGCAATTCCGTAACGGTTGAGAACCGAACTTTAGTTTGTATGTATATAGAATTTCTGTCTCCAAATGACTTCACCAACACACCTCTTCAGTAATGGTGTCCAATCACGGAACTTCTGTATTGCATATGAAGCCGAAAACTAATTTTGATAAATTCTCAAAATCGGCTGAGTGTGTGGAACCGTCAGCATGATCGAAGATGTAAAATAAATAATTCGTACAAGATTAACAGTTTTGATTATTGTCTGTCGCCATAAAAATTGCACCTTGCATAGTTTAATTGTTACTATATATTTCGCCATTAAACCTTAAGGTATATTTCTCTTATTATATTATTTTTATCTTCGCGATACACAAAAAGTTGCCTTATCAAAGTTTCATATCCTTTATGATCTGATACCACGAAGAATTTTATAATTCCTTAACAAGTCCGGAGATGTTGCGAGCTGTATTAGCATGATGTTTATACCGAGTTTCATGAAAATTCATAAATTATCTTTTTAAATTAGATTTTCAACTTATATTCAGATAAAGATGCTATTACATCATACACCTGTCCTGTTTAGTTCGTTGTTTGTTCCTGCACGTGATGTCCAGCTAATTTGGTTTGAATTCTCGGCAGTGGACACTTTCAACGGGAGCCAGCTCCACTTCTGGCGTCTGGATCGCAGGCAGATGGGGGCCTTCTTGTGCATAGCGTCTAACGACGTACCTCCTGCAGTGAGCAAAAGAATCATACTCAACGTCAACTGTAAGTACACAACTTCTCGGTTCTTAACTCAGACAGACACACCCCACCAATAAGCCACATGTTTCCCGCCGCGCAGGGCAACAGTGTTTTGTTCCACGTCCTACTAAGTGGGACGTGCGCCAAAGAAATTACGTTATTAGGTCGGGCGTCCGAGGCAAAACCTTCTAATACTACAACTGAATTAATTTGTTTCAGTGTAGAATATCAACATTTGAAGTCGCTAATTAATTAATATTTGCATTGGATTTATTATGTCATTAATAGATTAATCGATTAATGAATGTATTATTTACATTTGGTCGTTGGTGGAAGCTATTCCTCTTTATAAATCATTAACGAATAAATGGTTAAAGAATGAAAAAATAATTTCTGGAAATAAATTAGGTCCGATGACTGCTAATTTATTCAGATATTTTAATTTATGAGATTCGGAGTAGCAGAAAATAATTTAAAATAATTTTATAATTTTAATATTAAATTGTTTCATTTTGTGAACAATTTCCAGTACAAGTTATGAATGTTTGCACTTTCTTTAATATAACCTGAAACTTTCGCAAGGTTGCGAAGTTAGTCACTTGTGCAAACAGAAACTACAGTTCTGCCGTGATCAATTGTCGTAACAAAGTTTCACATCTTTGTATATAGTAATTGATTATTTAACACTGAATCTGGAAGATAAATGTAGATTTCGTTCGACCGCCATGTTTTTGTTCTGCATTCTAAAATACAGGTTGTAACATGCTTACTTTCTAAAAATGTATCAGTACTTAAACTTTAAGAACATCACGTAACTTGCAACTTGGAAATATGTGTTCTTTCGACATTATATCGATTTAGGCAAGTTATAACGTTATATTATAAGGTGGCAGCATTCTGTAGTCTCGTATAAGTTTACTGACTCATCGGCAGTAAGAACCTCTGAAACGTCGGTCAACTTCGAGACTACGCCGCGCAATATCCCAGATGACAAGTCACCTTGATACTCGATTCCGTAAGAACTTATATCTCAATAATACGTGCTTTGAACACTGGCATGTCTAATATTTAAAACTAATGTCATATTACTTTAAGAACATTGGATTCCGGTTAATTGGGACACATCGGGACTAGAACACTTTGTCCCAATTAAGCTGCTGCCCCAATTATGCGAAGCTCCACGTAAAGAGTTAAAAATGTTTGTTCTTTAAGATTTGTCCCAAATAAACGGATTCCCCGATTAACCGGAATATACTGTATTTTGTATCTTTGTCTTTTCTGGTCGAAAATTACACGCCGTCCTCAAGTTTCACGGGTGTCTTAGCGTTTGTAGTCTGAAAAGGTTTGACCTTCGTAGCTGGTCTGGGACGTCATTAGCAGGGTTCCATCCGATTACTCGTTACACCACCTGTCGCTCTTAGAAGTGCTCCTTTAATTAATTCTCTGTCGGGTTAAATATAAATTTCCGCAGCCAGACATCTTACTTCAAGTAGTAGCAGAACGTAATCCGTTTTATCATTTATAAGCTGAATAACGGTACGTGGCCTTCTCTCCTGGTTTACATTTTCATATCCAAGAAAATGAGCCGTCTGTTCGTAGCGTTTCATGAAATTAAATAAATAACCACTTGTTATTTATATATTTATAAATTGATATGTTTTTACACATACGTATTTTTTGTTTCATATGATGAGAGTACAATTTAATTTAAATTACGAACCTGTTATATTATTTTCTTACAAAAAAATTAATTTGCTTAGTATCGAATATCGTTCTGTCGTGGTTTAACACATGTTTACTTAATAAAAGAGTTAACGTATAAATTTGGTTTCTGAAAAAACGCTCTCGATATTCAACTCGTCAGATGCTCATCTTTTTGTTCAGATTTCCTAATACGTACGATAAAGAAATTAAACGGATAGGCAACGTTCAGACGAAGTCTGCGTGTCTGCGATAACCACTCCGCCACACAAATCGGTAACCACGTCAATGAAATCAGTTGCTCAGCTCAGAGTGATGGAATGTGGTAACAATTTAGACTCCATAAGTGATGAAACGCTCTATTAATTCAACCAGCGATAGTAGTTATCGCCAGTTTAATCAGACCAATTGAGATGAGCCAAATTGGTAAATTTGCACGTCAGAACATGTGCAGGATATTACGTGCACAAGTGGAAACACCAACTTCGTCGTGTGTGTTAATTTAAACTGAGATCTCGTTTAGAGAGACTTTAAATGAAACGGTTTACCTGTGATCGAACTTTGATCCCAAATTCATTCGATATTCAGATATCTGAAGCGGTAGGAAGCTTTTTCAGAAGATTGATTTAGCACAAACGTATGAACTATGACAAACGAACTTGTAACATTTTAGTCCAAAACACAAGACCATCTTCCGTAGAATTTTCGATTAATTATTCATTAGTTAGTCTGGCATTGGAAAGCTGTATATTATAACTGCTGGCACTGAAACTAAATAAGCGATATATAATTAAACATTCTTTTTGATACCAGCAATTTTTCTTTACGTCAGTAAGTTTTCTATAATGTGCCACTTTTTCCATACAGGCTTTCTTATACTTCACCAGTTTCCATGAAACTTTCTATGATTATCATGACTTTAGACTAGCGGTACCCAAAGTATGACCCGTGGACCACATAGTTGTAAGTTATATTTCATTAAATAAATAACACAGAATTTTTTTTATAAAAAATTGTTCGTCTTTATAATCTACCTTTTGCAAATATTTTTACGATAGATCTACTTTTAGGTAAACATATTTTTAGTTAAGAGTTATTTTGAACCGGGAACCAAATTCGCCCAAAAATTTTGTTTAGAGTCCCCGCTCTGATTTGCATAGGAATCCGATCTACTGTTTCAGAGATGGAGAATGCTATGGACTGACGCGTCCTAATTATGTGTTTATTTTATGCAAACAACACGGAGTAATCACAGATTTTGCATTGGTTACTATCACGAATTTGGCTTCCAGCTCCAAAATCTAACATTTCGTACTTTTTCTCATATCACGTTTATTTACTTGGTGAACTGTAAGAGTGTCTACTTATGAAATATTACCGAAGATATAACCAAAGTATCTGAGGAAATGTCTTTATATTAAGAAGTGAACTTGTGTCATTAAACTTCCGACAGCCATAATTCTTCTCGTGCGACGTCATAATTACAAGGTCAGAGAGTATGGTTGGTATGGTTGTTCTCGTAACAAAAGTTTAGTTACCACTTGCGGGAAATTACTCGGCAATACAATAGTCGAAGCCTGCGTCGTCAAGGAACATGATATCGGCCACGATGTCAAGAACTAATAGCAGTTAATAACCAATATAATTTCCACGCCATCTGCAGTGCTATTGAGTTATGTTGGTAAAACACCACAGGTCAATATTTGTTGTGACCTTTCTGTTGTTTAGAACAAATTCTCCCCTTTCATCTACACCTGCACGCCAGCTTCCTACAGTGCAGTGCTTTAACATGCCACTTGCTGGAATATATGGAGGATTTTAATTACCTTCATACACTTGCAGTTCCTTTATTTAATATTGCATTCTACAGTACTCCATATTAAATGATAGTAAGCATGCAAGGCATTGGTAAGGACTTAAATTAAACTATCTAGCCTCAACGAAACTCGGAAGATGGGTAATGATGCCTCAAACTTAAGTTTTCAGTAGTAATAAAGTTAACTAATTATCTTGTAATCCTGGGGTCTCGGGTTCGATTCCCGGCGGTGCCCGAATTTATAACTTGTGTTGGGCAAGGCCGTGGTCTAGGCAACACGGAGTTTTCCTCCGGGGGCTTCCCCGGTTTCTCCGTGGCATCCCAACAATTACTCCATTCACACACAGAAGAAGGCAATGGCAAACCACCTCTGGATCATCTGCCAAGAACGTATATGAACAGATCCCAGTCGGCTTCCCCGGTTTCTCTGTGGCATCCCAACAATTACTCCATTTACACACAGAAGAAGGCAATGGCAAACCCCTTCTGGATCATCTGCCAAGAACGTATATGAACAGGTCCCAGTCCGAGAAAAGGATGGAAGGATCCTGTTCATATGGACCTGTCGTCAGACAGAACACTAAATAAATAATAAAATAAATAAAGTTCAGTATAAAGAGTTATATGATACAGAATTTGCCGTATAAGATGGTGTTATTTTGCCTTTCGCAAGACACACATGCTCTGAGTAACGTGATTTATTATAACAGGTTTAAAGCTCGTTTCGCAGTCGTCTGAAGCAACGATCAAGAACATGCAATGACGCAAAAAAGTGCTAAATGTAAATTTACTTACGTACGCAACATGGGACATGCACAGATATGACATACCGTACAAACAGTTACCGAGAAACCGTATCTTGAACGACCACAAAAACCGTGGAAATTCATGGATTTTGTAGATTTTCTCGTATGCATAATTAGATTATGTTGGTAGCACTCTAATATGAAAAAAGAAGTCGAGCATTTTTTATTTTGTCTCAGATATGATGTTGGCGCCACTGGCAACGTGGTCGTTATGAACATTACGAATCTTAAACAAACTTTCTCATTTGCACATATTTTCTTATACTGTAGATTTAACAGTTATAATACATTGAGTGATACATGAAATTTGACGTTTTCCCAGCTGTGAATATGAGGACTGTGATTTTCTGGTTTGTGACGCCGTTTAATCTTGTAATCTGAACAAATATATACAGTTTATGACGTCTTCATAATTTGAAGGCGTCCGTTACGTGTGTAAAAGTTGGCCTAAACACTTTGATATTGTTAATATTTGATGTTCATACAGCGACAAGTGGTTGTTTGAAACCAATGTTAGCCCACCCCTTTATGATAGGCGACCTGTTATTACAAAGCGATCGTATAGAAAGCGAAAACGTTCTGTCTTACAACAAACTCGTGTTCCGCCAAATGCCATATTGATGTTGGTTATCACTGACCCACACTCATACAAGCAACTGCAAGATGTTATTTGTTCCTTGGGATCTGTGTTAATGCAGACTGAGAACACACAAAGTCATTCTGTTTCTACAATCCTTGGACAGTACTGACTCCAAAGTTCCACGAAACGAGGAAAATTATATTAAGGGTATATAATTAAATGAATACATTGTATTCAATTAGAAACATTTTATGTATGAAAGCATTCTGCTAATTACGTTTAAATGTAATTAAAAATAAGTGGAGAATAGAATATTTATAGTGAGGAGATATGCAGAAAGACGCCAGCAAAATAGAAGAGAATTATAAATAAAGAAATGTGGTAAATGATACGGGGAAAGAAGAGTTTGTATTATCGTCCTTTCGCCCCCTTGTAAGACGTACCTTGACTTGAAAAACGGTAATATCATTCCATAGCTTGTTTGAGATTCATAGCCAAACCCGCAAGTTCTGCAATAAACTTCGCTTGAAGTCTCTCCATTTCAAGAATATATTCGTCGTTTAAAACTGTATTAAAATTGTTTGATGTGGAATGGAAAATATAAAAGCAGAAAGCACTGTATTTATCTGTTTGAAGATTTAATGCAGATAAAGTCATTTATGCAGTTTATAGTCAATCAACTGAAGAACGTTACTGTGAAATGATAATACGTTTCTGTATGTAAGACCAGGGTTGGTAACCGTAAGCCATAATATCCCTTTCTGTAGCATTTCCACTGCCTGTGAACGAAGTTATTGATCAACAGAGAACAGCTTAAATTGCGCTGTACAGTTAAGTTTATAAAATAAATTAAATTCGATCGTGATGTCTGATTCAGCCAACATATCCGACACTTCTATCAGACATTCGACACTTTGCGTGTCTCTTCCCTTGTCTGTAAATACGAACTCATAATTTAATTTGGCAGTTAATCGTGAAACTTGTGGAGATCATTAATGCAGTTCAACCCGGTTCATTCCGCTTTAAAGTTCGGTGTCAGTGTCGCTATTTTATTTCTCACTATTATTAAACGTTGTTCTCTGTCCGCATAAATCATACCTATAATGCCCCTTCCACATACAGATCTCCCACCATACCTGAAGCAAAATTGATGTTTCACTTCCTCTGTACAATCTTTTTTGTATAGTCTGGTCTACAAATACTTATCGTTTGGTCAAAGAAATGTCGCTGCAAGGAGGTTTATTCCCTTTGGAATTTTTCTGTCATCTGCTGGAACCTTCAACCGCTTATTCCGTTAGTTGATTTTCTCATACTTTATAAACAAAGTAAGTTACTATCTCTCCCAACCTTCTGGGTTTGTCTTTTTACCACTAACAGCTTCTGAACCAGCGCCGTTACAGAGGTCCTTGCTGACTAATCACCCTGATAATGCAGACAGCAAGGGCCTCTGAAACGTTGGTGAATTTCTACCAGGCTACACGGCGCAACGACCCAGAAGACAGTCTCTTCGGACTCACCGCCTTGTAAGCCTCAGATCCTAGCTTCTGAAGCAGTTTCTCTACACACAGTGAGAGCTACCCTACCTTCATAATTTTCTAATATGGCTTCATTAATAAAATCTTCTCTGGCCACTTGGTTAAATTCTGCCGACGTTTCGAGAGCCACCAATTTCCTCATTTTCAAGTCTAGTCACGGCATTGGCGTGAAATTCTTTTAGCTCCAAATTTTTTGAGGCAGGAACAATAAAATTGTCGGTTATGTAAAACATGCTACAGGCTCACTAAAATTTATCTTCAAAACTGTGTGTAATATTTGTATGAAATGCGTATGATATAAGTAACATATATGCTTTTATTTATAATTGTTTTTCGAGGCACGAATCGGAATTTTAAAATTCTAACACATTCTGGATAATACATTTTTAAAAGAAAATTTAAATAAAAAGAATCTTCTTACGCAGAGTGTTACTGGGAAGAAAATATTTTACGTGGTCTGTCAAAGTACGTGAGGCGTGGTGGTAAGAGACGGAAGTGTATGTAGATCCTTGTGTATATTAGCAATTGTGTCACTGGTAACACAAATTTGTCCCAGAGGTACATCATACTTTGTCTACAAACGTCTAGCCGTCTCTGACGTCTTGACAAATTAAATTTGGGGGAGTGACTATGCGGCAGACAACAGTAGTGAACCCAGTTTGCACATAATTCTGAGACAATTAAACGTCCTAGGAAGAACAGCATGATCTTGCCTGGTGTGTGTTCTGAACACAGCGAACATTTGTATGGTGGCAAATGGCTATATTATTATTTTGATGGGTTCGCAGATATGTTTCGCTCCTAGTTTTCGATCAACCTTTTGGTTCCCAGTGGTAGCTAACTATATTTACTAACCTGTTTTAACAGTCATTAACTTTGCACTAAGCCTACTCAGTGCTTTTGCAATTATTTTCCTAAATAAAATCAACCACTTTTTCCTTGTAATGGAGGCACGTTGTGTTTTATTTGCTATAGGAACTTGATTTTTAAATGTCACGTAGACTAGCTTCAAAGGGTTTACGTGATTTGTATGGTGTACATATTAATTTATTTGCGACATTGTATAACAAAAATTGTTAAATTATTAGGGATACAAATTTCACGTTGCTAAGGCATTCATTCTGTCAGATTTCTTAGTCATAAATGGTCCTTTTCTTCTGTTTCCTTAAATATTGAACATAAACAAAACAATTAGCGTATTCTGTAGTTTGTTAAGCACCGATTCATTTTTAAACCAGCCGTTTTTTATAAAATGTATAAAGTTTTATTATTACTTTAAACAAGTGAAATTTTAGTGTAGATTTCGAATACTGTAGTAACGGAGATCAAGCATACGGACAGACGCACGTACACAAGCGATCATTTTACGCAGTTTATTGCAAGTAATTTATAATGACGAATATCATCTATCCCAAATCCCCCCTTTTAAATATTAGTTACAAGCTAACACAGAATATCCGTTATATAATTGTACCTGCTTTATATGAAATTTTAAATTACAGTCATTTGTTGTTTTATTGCCCGGATCTTGGGAGAAAAATAACGAACAGGTTAATTTAGTAATTTTAAGTGGTGAAGAATTAATATATCTATTACGCACTGCATTGCCTGGCATGAGGAAGCGAACAGTGGTTTTGTTAATTTGTGGAGAAAGAACAGCGAATTGAAACTCAGACAGAATACAGGAATAGCACAAAAATAGGATCTAAAGCTATGCAGTTACATATGCAACATTTATTATGAGAATAATTAAGCGTCTCTCGGGGCTTACTAACACTGGCTGCATTCATTTTCGAATAACCATACCTACCCATCCCTACTATAAAGCGTTACTTTTTAATAACCACACATGTAACAACCTCCATTGCGTCCTTATGACCGATTTTTTATAATTTATATTTCGCTCGTTACTAGCCACTGTGATACACGATCGCCGATTTGAACAGAATATAAATTATGACGTGTACGTGGATCATTGTTAATAAAGAATTTATGACTTGTGTTGGACAAGGCCGTGGTCTAGGCAACACGGAGTTTCCCTCCGGGGGCTTCCCCGGTTTCTCCGTGGCATCCCAACAATTACTCCATTCACACACAGAAGAAGGCAATGGCAAACCACTTCTGGATCATCTGCCAAGAACGTATATGAACAGGTCCCAGTCCGAGAAAAGGATGGAAGGATCCTGTTCATATGGACCTGTCGTCAGACAGAACACTAAATAAACAATAATAATAATATAATATGGGGCAATTCTGTTGTCCTATGAAGGACACTACAACCCTTATTTCCATTTCCTTATGGCCGCGTGTGGTAGTTCCTCATGTAAGGAACAATTCAATGATATTAGTAGTCTATTCTCAACTGCTGGTGCTCTGTAGGTTTTACAGAGGAAGTTCGTACAAGCGTGGATATTAAATGGCCCTGAAAGGACAAATAAGGTGCCTTGTATTATAGGCCTACGTACAAAGTGAATGACTGGCTTTCGTTTTAATCCAATACCAATTCCTTAAGGGTTTATATTCACCTGTTCAGTGGATAGGCCGGAGCTTTCTTCGAAAATAAAGACGGCCGGAGCGTACAGCTGAAAATTACTTCCATTGAGTACCGGGGCTAAGAATGCGTGGAGATCTACGTTCTTGCTATGTTAATTAGGCACACGCTGCCTTGTCTTTACGTCATGATCCGCCAACACGCCGAGTATCCTAAGGTATTTTAATAACGTTTTTTTCGATGAGTCCAACAGGATTATGCGTTTTTGGCCTTTTCAGTATATCGCATGTTCCCGGAACACACTAAATTCGTGACAACACTTCAATTGCTTTGAGAGTTCTGCAATTGTAGATGGCGGAATATCAAAGTGAATAAAAAATGTAGTTCATTTTCTTTATCACTATTCGTTATTTTATTCCTGGAAATTTTTGGTGAACGAATGACGATGTGACAGTGTGAGAAGCAGCAGTCTTTCTAGTTAGCAGCTAATTTTAATGTTGGATAATTTGTGTTCGTAGTTGCTCCAGTGGTCAAAGTCCCAAATCAGCTGCTTGGGGCGCCACTGGGTACGGACGTGCAACTAGAGTGTTATGTTGAGGCCTTCCCCAACACAATCAACTACTGGGTGAAGAACAGAGGAGAAATGCTATTAGACGGGTGAGTGTTGTAGTTATTATTATTAGAATTTAATCTAATTATTAAAAGAAGCAAAGATGTTGCTAAATCTAATTACATTTATGTGGTTATCTCTCATCCTTTGCATTTGTGGTCATATCCCGGGGGCTATCAGATCCTATCTGATTTGAACAAGTCGGGGGCCATCGGATAAATCTGTTATTTTGACGTAAATACGTATATACGGAAAGGAATTTTATATATTGGCTTTATTCTAAATATTTCCTTTATACATGCTTTACAATTGAGATAAGTTTGATTAAAACATTGCTTAATCAACTTGAATTAGTTACGCTTAAGATGGGTCTGCAGACCCATCTTAAGCGTAACTAATTCAAGTTGATTAAGCAATGTTTTAATCAAACTTATCTCAATTGTAAAGCATGTATAAAGGAAATATTTAGAATAAAGCCAATATATAAAATTCCTTTCCGTATATACGTATTTACGTCAAATTCTCCGAAACCGTGGTTCCACTGACAACGTTTTTAAATTACGGAAAAAATTTAAGGAGGTAAAGTTATTACAAATTATGTTTATGACCTCAAATGTTGGAATTTCTTGCCTAGAACTGGCCTTCAAGGCACTAAACTCTTTATATTATCAATAATAGAAAGTTAATGCGATGTTACCACGTTGTCGTGAAAGCAAAAGCCAGGCTGAACAAGTTCGGTTGTAAAAGGAATTCCTCACAGAGATACATTTACGGTGATGACGCAAGATAAAGAATGTTCATTAGCGGGTGTATTTTCATATGGTTACCAGAAACTTCAGTTAAACTTTATGACGTAAAAGAGCTCTTTCCTCTGTTATGTTATTTTAAAAACGTAAGAGAATGAGGAATTTTCCTGCACTTCTCGGTGCATTGTACTTAATTCGAACATTCACGTGACCACCGCGTCACACACGCAACACAATGGCCCACGAGAACAATAGCGGACTCCCGATTTGAGTAATGTACTAGCATACCTAGCAGCCTTTTGTGTTTTGTTGGAAAAGGGAGGCGAGGCTCGGTGAGCGAGGTCTTTTAAAACCCGTGTACGGATTTATTTGGAACGCTGTACGACAATTTGCATGTTTAAACAGTTAGAATGATGATACACGCAATTTAAAACTCAAACGCAACTCTTTGACCGAGCGAACACGAGCGGTTTGGGCCGCATTGATACAACGCGCACTTACAGTAGGAAGCGAACGCACGTGCGGTAATTTTACCGCTGCGGTAGAGGAACCGCTCGAGTGCGCTGTTTACCTGGCAATGGCCGAACGTAAAGTGAACTTTCAGAAGTCGGACTCCATTCTCAGACTATGAAGGTTGGAAGGTTTCTAGGACTCTGAGGTTTTCACGGCGGTGAGTCTGAAGATGGCACACATGGGTTTTAGCGCCGTGTGCTTTAGTGGAAGTTTACTAACCCAGAAGACAGCCATGATCCTTTGAAGATTTTTTTTTGTATCGATGTTCCTGTCTGCGCAACATGATGACAAACTTACTTAAAATTTATTAAGTAAAATTATAAAAATACTCCCTAATATCATAGGTACCTTTTTACTGGAATGTGAGACCATACGAACGAAGAAACACGAGATGATTTCTGTTATGTATCGTACATAATCTTTAAAAGTGGAATTTTGGACTTCATCTATCGGACAATTTTTCTAAAAGAAAGATAATAGAATTAATGGAGGATTTCATTCTGTATGACGTCTCCCCTTCCGTCACTAATTTTTAACATACACAAATGTAGTAAAACCCTGACGACATCGCCATCAAGACACTCATCTTTGAAATCTCGGGTTCTGATTGCTTACAGAAAAGGCAAATCCTCCTGACGAACAAAATTTCCACTCGTACTAATTTAAGTGCGATTTAATACAGAATTAAAATGCATTGCCTGTGCAGTTTTGTTAAAATTCGTTGATCGAATTAAAATAATATGTATATTTCAAAACCAAACGAGCGTAGCTAACATTGCGTAGTGTCATCACATTGCTATTGTTAATTATTAATTCTGGTAAATTGGATTTTTCTTTAAATTTTATTATACGTTCTGTTTGTACACGAGGCAGTTACAATTATACATAAATTTAGACCATAATGCAACATTGTGCTTACAAATGTGATTCCAGAATATATTTAGTTGATAATAGTTTGTACTGTTATCAGTGTCCGAATTAATCGATACGTAAATGTCTAGATACCATTATTAAAATATCGATAATGGCTTGGCTCGTGTGTGTTTTGATATCCGGTCATTGGCTTGCATATAAATTGCAGCTGATTGTGCGTTCGTCACTTGTTCGATAGGTAGTTTGTAGTTTTATCGATGACTAATGTTTAGTTCAGTTTGTATCGAAGAATCCCGTAGAGCTCACAGTCTAAAAATTAGCTATACGACGTAGGTCCTTATAATGTTTGGGAAATGCTGTAAATTAGCCTGTATAATTTCATTTAGGTTCCTGTTACTTACCTCTCAAGTTACATGTCTATTACATTCATTACACCAACTTTTATCTTAGAAATCCAATTTACTAAACTTGGGTTGGGCATCACAGTGTTCCTAATTGTTTTATCGCCAGCCTAAATTTTCCTGCCTTTCGCGTAGACTGAGTAAAGTCTCCGTATTCATGAACCTTATGTTTAACTCAACTGTTCTAATGTATTTATGTTATGTCATGTGGGTCTGCCTTCGGAAATTTCTTACAACACATAATTATTTCTCGTCACTTGGAAAGACGTAACCCAGAATCTGTCATTACCTGCAGTATGAGTTTTAAAGTGCGTCACAACGTTTAGTAATGTTCTGTTGAAACAAACAGCATCAGCACCCTCTCAAGTGAGTTTAACAAATGTGTGTTTGGTGTGAATTTCGGCAGGTGGCACTAATGTGTGGTCACTTTTCGTCTAGAATTAAGATGATTTTTAATAATTTTTAATAGTGTCTGCGAATAAAATGTGTTTTTTTTATATTGAACAAGCTTCTATCGTCATAGAAGCTTTAACCGTAGAGTCATCTCGCACTGCCCTGTTAGTAGGGGTGAGATATTAAATCATATACTGAAGCAGACACGAACAGTTTCTTGTAGCCTATTAACATTTATTTAATCATTTTTTTATATTCAAATTTAATTACAACAGTACATTTACGGATTAAACATACGGAATCTTTTTATCTGCTCCTGGAAACATCAATCACGATTCTGTGTGCATTAATGTTTATGGGGTGTAAACAGACATGTTGTTCTGTCGTCTCTCCAACATCACAGACATGAGTAATGATTGTTAAAGCTCTGATTCTTTGAGTACGCAAATCATGTTATTCTCCATTGAATATATCGTACTTCCGAAAATATAAGGTAAGAATATTAGTATAAATTACTTCTAATAAACTAATTTTTTTTTAATACGAGGAACAGAAAATATTAGTAAGAATTCAAGACGATAATCTACTCAGATATTATGTTATTCGTATAATTTATCTGGGAATTAACCTAGTAGGATTAGTTACGCCCAATTTCCAGCAATGAACCCACAAATTAATTTTACTTGCACTGTTAACTTTAATAATTATTTTATTTTACTCGCATCTCATGTTTCTTATCGTAGATTGTCACTCTGTCAACACAACAAATTATAAACACAGAGAGGTCATTAAAAATATATAAGTAGTCGGAAAATTCTGATCCAACTCTATAAAGAGTAGAAGAAAAATAATATAAATAATTGAAAACTGAACAGTGACAGCCTTCTATATGAAAGATGTTCGGTTGAAATCTCAACAGATATGAGTCACCTTTACAGGAAAAGAGAATAAGAAAGGAACAGTGCTTGTAAATGTTATGACAGTGGTTTGATACTGTAATTGGAACACTGCCCTAAAAATGGCCCATTGTCTGGATAATGAGATGCGCGACGTTTCGGAGTCTGGCTCCTAGTGAGGAAGATAAGTCTTAACTGACTGGTCCTGTTGGATACATGCCGTCCGTCGTTTCTATCTGCCACCCGAGCACGCTTGTTACCTACGTAATGCAGGATAACGCGTTTTTGTTAATGTCGTCAGCTTCTGGTAATATAGCAATAAACTTGAAACTAAAATTATTACCGGAGAAAAGCAATGTCAAATATCTGACTGATTTCTTGAATAAATTTATTAAGTGATACGTGAACCTGCTTGCAGTTGGCGTGCTGTATCAGCTAATGTGGCGCGAAACCACTTCGTTTTCGCAAGGGTCCAGCTTCAGATCTCGACTATTCTGGCTTGAGATTTTTCGTACTGTATCAGCTAATGTGGCGCGAAACTACTTCGTTTTCGCAAGTGTCCAGCTTCAGATGTCGACTATTCTGGCTTGAGATTTTTCGTAGCTCTTTTGGTCCTTCCAGGCAAACAGCGAGATAGTACTTCAACAGTCGGTAAAGTTTCTTACCTCTCGACCACGACGTCTTGTGATGTTTATGGTTTGTTTTCTTTGCGGTACGTACTGAATTCGTAAGATTATTCGGATGAGCTTAACATCAAAGGGATAACTATGTTGGATACAAGCTATATTTGAGGCTTAAGTTTGTTTCTCAGAATTATCAGAGGTTTTGTCCTGAACCCAACGTTGTTTCTTGGAGGTATAATCCGAAAGCAGTTAGGTTTTGTCCTGAACCCAACGTTGTATCGGACATATGTTTTCTTGGAGGTATAATCCGAAAGCAGTATTATTTAGATGAAGTGGAAAGATAATATCAAGGATTTTTTTTAGCTATAAATGTTTGCATGTTACGTAAATAATACACTACTGCTTGCCACTTTTAAGGTCTCTTTTCAAACGTAGCTGCTTTGGATTACATGGGATAACGCAAACCCTGTATGTTTCCCATTATTCAGACTACAGCGCTCTGTTGGACTTGGTGCGTGGCCCATTATGAGGTGACAATGTGGGAACATGGAACAGCTGTAGAGTACAGACAGGGGACGCTGCCATCGCCGCTGCTAATCCCA